TCCTTCCTTCCTTCCTTCCTTCCTTCCTTCCCTCCCTCCCTCCCTCCCTCCCTCCCTCTACCATCATCAGATGACTTGAGAAGGATACATAAATTTACTTCCCCAGAAAAATGAGGTATCTGGACCAATAGAGTCTTCAGCTCCAAAATCCTCCAGTAGTCAACAGCTTCGTCTATTTTACTTCTGGCCTTCAAACCCTCAGCTTTCTCCTCATTCTCTTCCTTTCTCTCTCTGCAGTATATTTGAATTTATGGCCAAGTGTCAGTAAGAGGTGATTTTTCCCAAAGAATAGTTGTTCCTCTGGAAAGCTCGGATAGGTTTCAGCTGGGCCAGTCAATATTCAAAGAATTGCTCATGTCAAAGCAGATAGGTTTGCCAAGCATCTGTTAAGCACTTGGGAGAAAAATAAAGCTTTAATGATAGGAAGCCTTCAAAGTCAGCCAATGCCTGAAAAGGCTTTATTTAAAAATGACTCTGATTTATCATTTTCATATGGCAGCATCCACGTCAGCAATTTTGTCATCTTGAATCCTGCAAATCTGAGCTGTAGGGAATCTGCCTTTGAGTCCCCACCCCTTCCAAGGGAGGTAAATGGCAGGCAAGTTGGCCAATAGCCAATGAATGCAGTCCTGTCTGCTTGGCTGTGTTCATTCTCCGGATCACTCTTTCTTCTGAAATATCCTCATGCCAGAACACTACAATGTCTGTTGCCTCAAGGGGAGGTGTGGTACCTTACTATCTGAATGAGGCAAACCTGCGTATCTCTCATAACAGGCTGCATGGGATTCTCCAGTCTTGCCTCCATCACCCCAAACGCACGTCCATTTCTACCACAAAACTGAAGAACATATCGCCTGCATCTTAATGTTTCACTGGAATTCTTTTTGAGATTTGGCTTGTGATGCCATTGCACAGACCTGAGCCAGCTGTGTGAATCTATACTACACCTGGGAATTCCATCAACAAACCTCCAGATGGACACCCTCTTTGATAATCAATACAGTATATTCATGTCTTCCCAGGCTTACTGAATTCATGGCAAACACTCACCAATAACTAAATAACTGTGAGAGTGTGTAATGGGCACTCTGCCTGGGCATGGAGAACATGTTCTTATGACATTTCCATATGCAGCCACTTGGTGATCCTAGCATTTACATCCTGGCTGGGCCTCCAAAAACTCCTCACTGCTCTCAGAAATGTAGTAAATGTGCTGTCAGTGTATGTAACCATTTTGTTGTATGTTTTGGACAGCTGTACCCTCCATCCTTCTTTAGTAGTAAAGATGCTGACCTTGCTGTTGAGGCCTCACTAATCCATGCAGCATGAAGTAACCTTCCTTTTGTTGGTTTTAAAAGCTTGCCAGTGGAAAATTGCAGGAACAACTATCCACAAAATAGGGAAAGTGTAAACGCTTCCCTTTCTGATGGATTACCCTGAAATAACCAAATAAAAATATTAAGAGACAGAACCATCAAAGCTGGAATTAAAGGCCATCTCTGTCTGTTAAGGTTAGATCATTAGTTTCTGTATGTTTCATTTTTTAAAAAGGGATCTATAATTCTGGGGCAGAACATTGTTGAAGCTGTGGAGGATTGGAGGGCTACAACATTCCAGAAAACGATCAGATCCTACATCAGGTAGACTGCCCTTTTTCTCATCCCTGAATCAGGAGGAGTAGAGAGTATTTTATCTTGCAGGGACTCTCTAATTCCCATATGAGTTGGGTCTGTGCTTGTGACAGCATAGTTCTTCATCATCACAACTTGGCTGGATCTGCATTTTGCTGCTGTACTTTTCTCTATGTACTTACAGAATTGGGCCCAAGGGATCTTTAGAGGACAGAAATCCTGATCATTTCCAGTTCAGCATTTCAAACTTCACTGGGGCTTAATGTGGGCTGGTTATGAGAGGCACCCTTTGATTTCAAACCAATTGGTCCATCAGCACTAATGGAAGATTCCCAGTTTATATGCCACTCTTATTAAAAGCAACTCTGAGTGGCTAATATTCCATAGTCCAATAATAGGAATAACATATAACAGCAAAATTATAAAGCATAATATAACCATACAAATTATACAGCAGCAATCAAGTTTTTATATCCTCCTCAAAGGCCATCCAGAAAACTCTGGTCTTAATCACCTTCCAGATCACTGACATTTCCAGAGTCAAACTGATTATTTTAACACAGTTATCATAATTATTTATTGATATGCCGCCTGACTCCCAACAACTCTGAACAGTTTACAAATTGCTTAAAACATTAAACACAAAAAGAAGAGTAAAGATGGCAGGATGACAGAATAGATGGGAACAAAGGAAAACAACCCACTTAGTATAAAGGGGCCTTCAGACACCCTTGCCAAAGGCCTGGGCAAAGAACCAGGTCCTGAGGCCCTCCAAAACACCAGTAGGGTGGGGGGGCCTTTGGATCTCAGGGGCAACCTCATTCCAGAGGGCAGGTGCTGGAACAGAGAAGGGCTGCTTCTGGGGTCCTGATAGATGGCATTGTTTAATCAAAGGAACCCAGAGCAAGCCAACCCTGCCAGATCAAATTGGCTGGGCAGATGCTATGGGAGAAAGGCGGTCCCTCAAGTAACCAGGCCCTATGCCATGTATCTTCTTTCCAACACCCAGATTTCTCACAAACATCTTCCCTATTAACATCTCTTCCAGACTTTATTCTATAATTTTTGCTCTTACGTTTCATGATTTAATGATGAGTAATCATCTATATCTTTATTGCATGTTGGCCTAGTGCCTGATACTTAGAGGGTATGATTTATAAATACAAGAAATAACACATGCATTGATAACAGTTTTTATTATTATTATACCTTTTTAATTGCAGTTTTTCCACGCTGACTAGGCCTGTAAGTTTTTTGATTTATGTCCAAATTATAACTTATCCCTTCCCATTCTTCCACATTGAAAGAAGACAACCAACCAAATACTCTGGCAGGGAAATTGGATGGATGCTTATTTTGCTTTCTGCAGGAAAAGGAAAACTCTTCAACAACTGCTTAACACAGGTATTCTCTTAGGGACTGCAATGCTGACCATTTTTTTACAATCTGATCATGCTTCTGCAAGCAAAGTGGGAGCCCCATAAAAACTCTCTTGGCTTGTTCCTCATTTTGCCTGCACAGGTCCACAGAAGCAGTTGCAGGACCACAACATTTGAGAACCCCTGTGATACATTGCTTAATAATTAATTATTAAAAGTGATGCACTTGACACTTACTCAACCTTAACAGTAATGAAATTGGTTTTACTCATTACTTCTGGGAGAGATACGGCAAACTGAAGACAACTCTGTGAAAACGAAGTCGATGACCATGGCAAAGACCAAGGAACTAGTGAGTAGACTGGTTCCTTGGAACCTCTCCAGATAAGAAGAGGACAGGAGATTGTTCACATGTGCTCTAGACAGCTGCTCCTCATGACAAGACTGCAAGTCAGTGGTTTTCTGCAGGTTTGAGCACTGGGAGACGAAGGGATTGGCCATCTTGCTTACAACCATGGTGGAGACTTTTAAAGGACACTAAGTTCAAAAATCTCACTTTCTAATCACTTTCAGAAATTGCCTATTAACCATTTTAAAGCTATTAGAGCCTTCAGAATGGCAAGTTTGAAAAGTCTTCATTGGCTGAGTTTATCTTCCACTTGAAGATAAAGAAAAATTGATTATAAGCTTAAGAACTTAAGGAATCTGAAATAAACAGCAAAAAACTAAATAAGATTTTGATTTTAGAAAATTATAAATTGGACTAAGGGTCCAGATAAATTTGAAATATTGAAACTTTTACAATAAGACTTTTGGAATTCATTATAAAGAACAAACAGCTCATGGGAAATCTGTTTTGGTGGTTGAAAGACATAACAGAGATAAGTAATTTCATGACTTAAAGACTGGACACTGAAGGGAACTAAAGATTTTAGGTAGAAGAAAAAAAATGCAAGCCTATAAAATGCAATGAAAATACTGAAGGAGACTTTTGAAGAATGGAATCAGAAATTAGTAGCCACAATATCAACAATGTCAGTAATGATGTCTGCTTCAATGGATAGACTATGTCCAAAAGATGTTATTGAAGAAATGACAGATGTAGAACAAATTGTAGCTGACAAGATACTTTTGAAGAATGGAATCAGAAATTAGTAGCCACAATATCAACAATGTCAGTAATGATGTCTGCTTCAATGGATAGACTATGTCCAAAAGATGTTATTGAAGAAATGACAGATGTAGAACAAATTGTAGCTGACAAGATAGAGATGTTATCAAAAGTAGATTTACAACTGACAGGCCAAGAGAATGATTTGGAAAAGGATGTTTCACTGGATCTACAAAAGAAATTGGCTGATGTTTTAAAATTCAAAAGGGAAATACAAATGATAAATTAAGAGGGTGATCTGGACAATTTTTTGCTGTTGGATTTACAAAAGAGGCTTGTTAAAGCCTTGAAGAACTCTGTGCAATGGGACAAGGAAGAAATGAAGAGAAATAAAATCTTACAACAATATTTTGAATGAACAAAGTTAAGACTGTTAGAAGTAAAAGGAAGGAATATAAAGTTGGTTTATTTGATCAAGGTTAATATAAGATACAGTGGTGCCTCTACTTACGAACTT